CTAGCCCAGGCAACAGAGAGAGACTCTGTCTCAAAAAAAAAAAAAAAAAGAAAGAGGCTGGCAGGAGAAATTCTTGCTCAGAGGACTCTTTCCCTTGGTTTCCATTATTTCCTTGTGACCTAGGACACACACAGAACCACCCAGTTGTCACCCAAGCCACGACCTGCACTGCCCACCCCACTGTGGCTATGGTGCGCAACTCAGCAAACCACGTCCACGTCCTCAGCAAGGCTGCTAACCAAAGGCCTTGGCACCATGAGGCTACAAAGCAGTGAGGCTGTAAAACTCTGCCCAGGTCTCTGGCCATATTCAAATGGAGTCAACTGCGTGCCCACCTGTCCACCCACCGCAGCTCCTGGACCCCAGCTTCTTCGGCTCCCCGCCCGCCCACTCACCTGCAGGAGCGGCTTGTCCTGCATCCACATGCAATAGAACAGTCCTTTCCACACCTTCAGCAACTCGTCATGACTGAAACCACCTGCATCGAAACAGCAACATCCAGACTAAATGGACTCAACCTCCGAGTGCCAAGAAGGAAGCCAGAGAAATGTAACTGCCTAAATTAGAACTATGCCCTACTTCCCATTAAAGGCAAGTGGGGAGCTGACTCCAGCACCCCTCTTCAAACAATCCTCTAACGCAGAACCAGCTGCGCCTGTGGTGACTGCCACTTCATTCACGCAATAAAACTCACGGAGAATCTACAGGGTATCAGGCATGGTACTCCAGGTTGGAGATTCAAAATTGAGAACCTCAACCCCTTCCTGAGCTGAATGGTGGCCACACAGGTTAATCTGCTGTTGATAATTCATCCTGCGTTACAGAGGCTTTGTGCACTTTTCTGTGCTATACCTCAAATATTAAAAGAAAAAAATTAACTTAGTCATTTAGGCTAGCAATGGAGACAGAGATAGAAGATTACTCAGTCGACAAATATTCACGGAGGTCCCTTGTGTCTGGAACCCTGTTCCTGGAGCAGTGGTTCTCACTTAGTGTGTCAGAATCACCTGGAAGCTTCCAGGAACACAGATGGCCAGCCCTGATTGGGCTCAGCTGGGATGGGACTCTAGAATGTGCATTTTTGGCCAGGCGTGGTGGCTCATGCCTATAATCCTAGCGCTCTGAGAAGCCGAGGGGAGAGGATTGCTTGAGGTCAGGAGTTCGAGACCAGCCTCAGCAAGAGTCAGGCCCTGTCTCTACTAAAAATAGAAAGAAATTATCTGGGTAACTAAAAATAGAAAAAATTAGACAGGTGTGGTGGCATGTGCCTGCAGTCCCAGCTACTAGGGAGGCTGAGGCAGGAGGATCGCTTGAGCCCAGGAGTTTGAGGTTGCCCTGAACTAGGCTGATGCCACGGCACTCTAGCCCGGGCAACAGTGCAAAACTCAAAACTCTGTCTAAAAATAAATAAATAAAAAATAGAATGTGCATTTCTGTTTTTAAAGATGGGGCCTGTCTCTGTTCCCCAGGCTGGAGTGCACTGGCGCAATCAGCTCACTGCAGCCTCCGGGCTCAGGCAATCCTCCCATCCCAGCCTACCCAAGTGCTGAGATTGTGGGCGTGACTCCGCGTTCCTACCAACTGCCCAGGTGACGCTCCAGCTGCTGAAGGGGGCGCGGAGGGACACCGAGAACCACTGATACAAGGCACAGTTAAGCACGTTCCCGGCCCTCAGGGAGCGTAGCCTCGAATGGAACTCAGAAAACGATCCAACAATCACACAAAAAGAAAACTGCCAGCAGCGGTCAATGCTGCCTGAGGGAAAAACAGGGGGTGCCCGACAGCAGGGAAGCAGGGGCGTAGGACCCACTGCAAGGACGGGCCGTCTGGGCTGCGAAAGCAGGTGGGCGCCGGGAGGGGCCTCAGCAGAGGGACCACATGCCAGCGCACGAGGGGAGGCGCCGCGAGGGCCGAGCCGGGCGCCGGGGCAAAGACCCGCGAGCCCTTCTGCCCACCCGGCCACGTCCGGGCCCGCCGCCCCGCGCGCCGCAGCCCGCACCCCGGGCCCCGCGGCCCCCGCCAACCTGCGGCACGCTGAGTCCGGGCCACGATGTACTTCCGGAGCTTCCTCACCGCCCGGTCCCGGGTCACCTGCTCGTTCCCCGCCAGGCGCTGCGCCAGCTGGATCTCCGGGGGGAGCTGCACGCGCGAAACCATGGCGACGGCGGCCGCAACCCTGAGACCCAGAGACCCCAACCTCAGCGACCCGCACGCGTCCCTGCCTCCGCCCCTCACCGGCGCGCGGACCGACGTCACACGCCCGCGACGCCCGCGACGCCGCACGACACCGCCGCGCAGTGGCCGGGCCGCGCACCTGCAGCGGAGGGATGCGGCGGGGCGGGAGGCGGGAGCGCGCGGCCGGCGCCGCACTCGGGGAGCGTGCCCGGGGGCGCGCATCTGGGAGCACGGAGTGCGGTGCGCGAATCTTGACTGTATCCCGGGTCGGAACAAAAGCCAATCTGGGGACAATTGGGAAAACTTGCACACGGACTAGACGTTACAGTACAAAAAGATCGTTTATTGGGTGTGACAGTGGCGTCTGTGTAGACTGGAGCTCTGCAAACCTTTTCTCCGAAGGGCCTGTTTCTCCAAGGACCACCTAGGACTGATGGTTTGCCAGGAGGACTCACAGGCGTGGGCAGGCGGTTGTGTTCCTGCCGCAATTTATTACGCAGAAAAGACAGACCAAAGTCTGCACAGGGGAAAGATGCGTGGGGCGGAGGCTGGGGGACCCAGGCACAAGCTCCCCTGAGATCTTTCCTGGGGAGTCACACAGGACACACCTAAGTCCCGCAGCAACAAGCTGCGATGATGCGTGTGGAATATTGCCAACCTGGGAAGCTGGTTAGAGACTCAGTGCCCAGGGGTTTTACTGGGTTTTACTGGTTATGCGGCACCCTCTGCCTGGCATGTACCAAAATAAGACTCCCAGAAGGAAAGCAGGTGTTCAGCATGAGCCGTATTTGTTGCATAAACAGTTTAGGTTCCCACATTCCTCTTACCAGGGAACGGTGGGAACCCTCCCCAAATCCAAGTTCCCAGGTCAGTGCCAGCCTCGAAAGCAAGCCTTTCAGCGGACAGCAGTCATGTCTGCTATGTCAACGCTTTCCTGCACCGGGCAGATAGAAAATGCTTTCAGCTCTGTAAGGCAAACAGCTCTGCCGTGGTAGTGCAAAGTGGCTACAGATGGTACATAAATGAATGGGCATGGCAGTGTTACAATAAAACTTAAAAAAAAAAATCTGTAGAGATGGGGGTCTTGCTATGTTGCCCAGGCTGGTGCAGAACTCCTGGCCTCTCAAAGCGCTGGGATCACAGGCATGAGCCACTGCACCCAGCCTTTTAAAACTTTATTTTTAAAAACAAGTGGTGGCTGGATTCGGCCTAGGACCATAGTTTGCCAACCCCTGATACAGAAGAATGTCCTTTGTTTTTAGTGATAGAATTAGCGAAAGACCATACTGACTCACTTGGTAAGGGCAAAGTGTCATGATGTCTGGAGGTTAATTCTGCAAAAAGAGAAATAATTATACACACATATTGACACATACATGTGTAGATAAGGAAATACGGCAAAAGGTTAACGAGTGTGGGATCGAGTGGTGGGACTGCAGGTGCTCATTGCCGGCTTTTTCTATGTTTGAAATTTGTCACAACAAAAAGAAAATATTTTAGAACCTGGTTTTAGAATTAGTGCTTTCACTACAGTTAAGTACCACGTATGTGCCAGCTCTGCTGTAGGCGCAGTGACTCTGCGAACAAGATCGCGGCCCCGGCAGGGGAGCCCGGCAACAAAGACGTGCGGGCATCACAGGGCCACGTGCTACAGGACACACAAAGCAGGGAAAGCGGACCACCAAGCCTAAAGACAAGAGTAATTTTAATAGACATGGCATGAATTTCTGACATGAAATTTTACCAAAATAGCTGAGATGCATCAACATATACTTTTAAAATATACTATACAGTGTATGCAGCTGTTAAATGCTGGTGGCTAATGAACCAATAATAGCATATTCAGTGTAACTAAAAGTAAATATGCCTTGTTAATGAATAAACTTATTTATATCAATTAGTAAATGCAAAATTATCCCTCTTTTAGGAAATTTTAAAAATCTATTTTTAGAACCATCTATGGTTACTAAAGTTAGTAGGGGAAAAGTATGATAAGAAATATATTTGCAAAGTCTGAAAGGTACTTATTCATTACAAAGGGGACCTTTGTAAGTACCTTCCCAATGGAGAAATCTGGCAGACAGCCTTTCACTCAAGTGATTGAGGTCAGCGTGACCAGGGATAAGACACACCAACACCACACGCCCCTGCAGCCACGCACGCACGGCGGACACGGCATCGCCGTTCCTGAGCCCAAACTGACAAACATCCCTCAAAATAATTAACTGATACTGGTTACAAGTGTCAAAGGCATGAAAGAGCAAGAAAGACAAAGGAACTGTTTTCGATTGGAGCTGACGGAGGCGTCTCCACAAGAGATGCGACGTAGTCGGACAGCAGTCAGTTGTGCTGGCGAGTTAGTGGTGTCGTGTCTACACCGTGCTTACGTAAGACATTAGCATTTGGGAAAACTGGATGAAGAGTTTACAGGAATTCTACTATTTTTGTAACCTAAAATTATTTCACTATAAAAAACCTTAAAAATTGAAAAAGTGAAAAAAGAAAGTCTGATGAAAATTTAGGGAATGAATAATCTCCCAACGTTACTCACATATACATTACCCACTACGCCATCAACTCCTGAAAGCAGGGGGTTTTGAGGACAGTGCCAGATGGTGGAGTGTGTAGAAAGAGCTGTGAGCAGCTCACTGTGCCCCAGTTAGCAACAGAAGGGTGCACAGTTATCCCACAAATAACGAAGACCCACATCTCTCGTCTCCGTACAACATCACGTCGACCCACCTCCTGCCTGGAGGTTGCCCTGTTTGTGTCTTGCGTTCCCGGATGTAGAAGACTCCGTGTTCGTGAGTCCTGTGTGTTTTCCTAAGCCTTGGCCAACTCTAGGCTCAACTCGAAAGCAGGTAGGGCAAGGAGGTGCGAACGACGTCTTCAGAGCAAAGTCGGCGTCCGTGCTGGAAGGCGTGCGCTTTGCGGGGCCGGCACCGGTGTCAGTTTCCCAGGTCTGCTCTTGTAGTGAGCTGAGATGCTTTGAAGGGTTAATGAATAAAAAGGTATAATGCAATTATAGTTGCTAGGGAACTTTAATGAACGCTATTTGCTTCTGTACAAAGCTTGCGGTTAGCAATTGTTAGAATTCAGGGCCTGATCGCCCTCCACATGTCAAGGGTTCAACTTATGATCGATGTGTAACTGGAAGAATGTTCTGTGTTTAATCTATAACTTAGATTGTGCTTTACTTCAATGATTGTAATTTGTCTTTGGGTACCAGAGATCTGTGAGAACAGCCAGATCTCAGGACTCTGTGTCATTGAAATACTGATTGTACATCCTGCCTTTGTTTCCTTTGTTTCCGAGTACCTGTTCTATGGCACGTAGCCCCCCCCTCAAATTGGTATAAAATTCCTGTAGAAGCTAAAGACTGGTGCCACTCTCTTGTACTGCTTTTATGCGGGCAGAGGTGGTCGCTGGCCAGCTAATAAAGACTCTCAATTTGGCTCCATTAAATTCTCTCATGGTCTGTTCGCGCCCTCCACACTACAACACTCTAACAAACTGCCACGGGCCGAGTGCCTTAAAACCACAGGAATTTATTCTCTCACAGTTCGAGGCCTGAAGTCTGAGATCAAGGTTTCGGCAATGCTGCTTCCTCTGTGGGCTCCAGGGGAGGGTCCTTCCGGCCTCTCCCAGCTCCTGGGGGCTCCCGAGTTCCTTGGTCTGTGGCCGCATCTCTCTGGTCTCTGCTCTGTCTTCACACAGCCTTCTGCCCTGTGTCTCCGTCTTTCAGGACGTTCTTCCTGTCTCTGTGTCCTCTCCTTGTCTTAGGAGGACACAGTCATTGGATTTAGGGCCCACCCTAATCCTGTATGACCTCATCTTAATGAATCACATCTGTAAAGACCCTATTTCCAAATTAAGGTCACGCTCGAGGTTCCAGCTGGACATGACTTCTTGGGGGACACTACTCAGCCCACTACAGAGGCATAAAAA